ACAGATTTGCTTAAGTGAAGCATGTTAGTCTGTGTGTAAAGAAATCATATTGAATTCTAAGTGCTGTAGACATAAAATCTTTCCACAAAATTGTGACAGCTAAAACTTCATTTTTCACCTTATTCAAAATATTTGCAAATAGGCACTACACTGACAAGAAATCAAGAGTGATTTAGCATCTGACGGTTTTGAATATTTCAATTATTGAACACCTATGATAATATACATGCAGATGCTGAAAGCTTGGCAAATGTCAAGCTTAAGGAGGCATCCAAATGCCAAATTTACTGCAATTTTAGAATTGATGATGTAAAGAAAATACAAGACAAGTATTTGAATAGAAATTTTGCTGTAAAGTCGTGTTAAGCAGAAAGGTTAACTGTGTCAGATAAAATGTGGACTGGTAAGAATCATGGAAATCACCAGGGTCTCAGCACATTTTCAGTTCAATTCACTTTTATTTGTATAGTGCCTAATCACAACAAAGGTCATCTCAGGACACTTTACAAAGTAAGGTCTAGAACTTCCTATTGTTATTATTATTGTTATTATTATTATAGAGAAAGGGTTCCCTGAAACTTCTAACCAACCCTAGCTGTTGGTGGGCAGCCTTCTGCCTCATCCGGTTGGGGTGACACAACAACAAACAATCAAACACTGGGCAGGTTGATATGGCTGGTGACTGCCCATCAGAAATGTAGAGCTCCAGAGCCAGGGCTACCTGCAGAAAGGTACAGGGAGCGAGAGAGAGGAGGACAAGGTTAGTGACATGTAATGGCATATACAGTAGATACATGGAGAGTAGAGGAGAGGAGAGGAGAGGAGAGGAGAGGAGAGGAGAGCTTGGAGTGTCATGGGAGGACTCCCAGCTATAGAGACAGACGCCTATACTGTCTTACTAATCAGACTGATGGCTGAGCTGTACTGCCTCTTTAATTAATTATAATGTAACTCAATTTAAAGTTGGGAGGCTAAGATACCCTTTTTGTGTCATTCAATGTTAAATTATTACAGAAATACTTAGGAGATTGGAATCAGGAAGGCAATGTTTTGCAGTGTGAGCTTAACCTCAAACATTACCCTCATATGAGAGTGAATGTTGAGCAGGCAAAGTGATGAGACATTAAAATTCAACAAGGGCTCCTGCTTAACAAGCTCGCGAATTATTGGATGAATCATCAGAATGAAAAATTCTTTCACAGCAAGAAGTAATTGGGCCATACCTTTGACAAAATATCCTGCAACCATCAGTGAAGTTGTTTACTTTTTTTATGGTCTCAGTCTTTATTCTTGAAATCATAACAGAGAAACAGAAGAAGTGGTGCAAATATATAACAATAATGTCTTTTGTTTTTGAATGTGGAGAACAGCTAATGCAGAATGGGTGCAGATTTTAACCAGACATCCTGGTTTGCTGTGAGGTGTCACATTATACTGAGCTGGGCTGTCCTCTGCAGTGTAATCACATAATGCTATGCTCTTTGCACACAGCCATTCCCCAGCAGTGCCAAAGCATGTCAAAATGAAATGTGATGTTATTCTTTTTTCATGCCAAAGCCCCCCCCCCAAAGTATGTTTCTATGGCTCGTGTTTTGGAAACACCGTGTCTCATCCAGTATGTACTGGCAGAGAGCGCTCATCACAGTGCAGAGTAGGCTTTTCATTTTCTCACATATAGGAGCAGTGATTCATATGTTAATGCTTGTTTTCCACTACAGCCAAATAGATCCCCATGCTCTAATTAGACTGAGGATGGATTATTCAGCTTTGAGGGAGTGCATGTCAGCAGGGTGATACAAAGAGGAAGAGACAGTGAGAACTCCAATATGTCGGTAAAATATTATCATCACAACCATACTAAAACATGGATGCTCTACAAATTCTATTTGAATAGAGGTTTCAGGCTGTTTTGCACCACACTGTTTTACTGCTGTTGCACTGCAGTAGGTAGTTCTTAGTTTAAGTGTGAACCTGAAGCTGTGAAAGCTGTGGAAATAGAATGAAAGGAGTTTCTTTTTGGGCCCCAATTAGTATTGATTTACTGTAAATAGTAACTTCTACTGTCAGAGCTTACACTGTCAGACCCAGCCCCTACACATCAATAAAAGAAAAAGGCAAAAAAACCCACAACAACACACACACACACACACACACACACACACACACACACGGCTAACAGTGGCGATGGCTTTTGCCATTTTCATCTCTGCCCTTGTCAATATATAGACACTGATCCACTTTAATCTGACATGTCATGGGTTAGGATTTCCTCTTGAGCGGTAAGCCATGAATAAAGAGTTTACCCACATGCTGGTGTATTTTTTTTATCCGAGCAAGAAAAGCCAGATACTATGATGCAGCCATTTTATGAAACTGTGAATTCAGTGTGTTCAAAAGGAATATTACCTCACTGCACCGTTCTTTACTAAACCACTGGGTGGTACAGCTGGTGGACCAGGCAGTTAAATGCATCCATCTGTATGCTGTGGAAAACTGGTCTTTACAAATTATACAGCCTTTAAAAGTCTTGTAATGTTTTATTGCTCTCCTTATCAGCAGATTGAAGGGAACGAGTGTTAGAGAGCATGAAAGGAAGCATTTGTCTGCTCTGTGTTATCCATCTAACAAAGTGGCAGACATATAGTCATTGTGTATATCCTTAGCTGTTGTAAAATGATTATCAGTGAGAACTGGATTTACACTTTGGCTAATTGGAAACCTCTATATTAGGAATCTCTGTAATTGTAATCTTTATTCTGTTATTACTTTAGAAGTTATTAAATTCTCTGGTTTTGTTTTAACCAGGGCAAAATTATTCCGGGGAAAGAAAGTGCTGGGGGATTATGACATCAAAGTGGAGCAGGTACGTTTCAACAAGGCAGTGATATCATTTGAAGTACTCTAAAACAAAGAGAAACATTTAAGTACTCTGTCCTCATATGCCTCTCTAATCATTAACTCCTCAGGCTGAATTCAACGAGATTAATGTCATGGCTCACGCCAGTGGGACCTGTGATGTCAACATGCAGGTTTTGAGGAATGGCACCAAGGTTGTCAGGTGAGACACACACACAAGAAGATAAAAAAGAAAGGGGGAGCTTTATCCTTCAAAGTCAGAAAGTAGTGCACTTGTAGAAGTTACTGTTTCAATTAGTAAGGATGTTAGATAATCCATCTGCAGTGCTGAGTGCCGGACTGATGACCAGCACACCCAGGATTTGTCATTTTCAGGTCTGATTCTTGTCACATCTCTGCTATAATTTAATTTTCTAGGTCATTCAAGCCAGACTTTGTCCTCATTCGTCAACATGCCTTCAGCATGACTGAGAATGAAGATTTTCGCAACCTGATCATTGGTCTGCAGTACGGAGGTGTCCCAAGCATCAACTCCCTTGAGTCGATCTACAACCTGTGCGACAAGCCCTGGGCGGTAGGCAATCAGCAGCCAGGGGAGAGCTTTAATTCATCCATTAAGTAATGGTAATTTACCCAGTCACATTACTGTATATATGATTTATTTACCTTATGTGTGTCCAGTTTGCCCAACTTATCAACACCTACAGGAAGCTGGGTGCTGAGAAGTTCCCCCTGATTGAGCAGACCTTTTACCCAAACTACAAGGAGATGGTGAGAATCCTGTCATCACCCACTCTCTTCTCCATTTAAAGAATCTCTCAGAATTTGTTTTTGGCATCAAATAGAAGATTCCCTATAGGTTTATGATCTTAAAATGAAACCATAGAGCAAGCAATAACACATATTATGCTTTTTTATTTTAGGTAGGCATGCCATCATTCCCTGTTGTTGTGAAGATTGGACATGCCCACTCTGGTATTGGAAAGGTATGGAAAGGTTTACTACTGCAGAAATGTGAAAAGGCATCATTTTGTTTTGTGAGAATTCTGTCTAATCTAAATGATTCAAGGCATTCAACTAGCATTATAATTTGTCTACATCAGGGGTAGACAATTCTGGTTCCTGAGTGCTGCTACCCTGCTTGTCTTCCAACTATCTCTGCCCTACCCACTGCCGATTACCTGGATCAGATACCACCTTAGATGAAGGTGAAGTGAGGAAACATAGAGTGAATTAGTATCTTTCGATTTCTAATTGGCTGAACAGATCAGATCCAGTTAATCAACAGTGGGTAGGGCAGGGATAGTTGGCACTAAAGGACCAGGACTGCCTACCACTGGTCTACATTGTGTTGTTTACAGTCAGTTTTGTGCCAGACAACTTATTCAATTTTGGGTATTTAGCTCAGTTTTTTCTCTTGTGTTTTTGTGTGCAGGTGAAGGTGGACAATCACAGTAAGTTCCAGGACATAGCTAGTGTTGTGGCTCTCACACAGACATACACCACCACAGAACCTCTCATTGACTCCAAGTACGACATCCGAATCCAGAAGATTGGCACTGATTACAAAGCTTACATGTATGTATGATTAAAGTATCGGTACTCCAGCTTTATATACAAATAACAAACAAAACTGAAGGTTTGTTGTTAATGTTTGTTTTTTTTTTGCTTTACATACTTCAGGAGAACATCTATATCTGGTAACTGGAAAACCAGTACAGGCTCAGCTATGCTTGAACAGGTGGCCATGACTGACAGGCAAGTGTTCAATAAGACTCCTACACTATAACACAAACAAGATAAAGTACAAGATAAATGTTTTATTTTGATTCAACAGGTGATTTCAGTTTAGATGTAGATTATTAGAAAGTGTCTTTTTGTGTGCTCACCTTTTGCACTACCTTGTTCTGATGATGTTGAAACAATCATCAGATTGTCTCATTACACTTCCGCTGATTGTGACTTAGGTGATGATTGTTATGTTTAGGTACAAGCTATGGGTTGATACCTGCTCGGAGATTTTCGGAGGTTTGGATATCTGTGCGGTCAAAGCCATCCATGGGAAAGATGGCAGAGATTACATAACAGAGGTAAGAGATTGATCCAATTTGAATGTCAACTTCAGTTGTTGACATTCTCTCTTTCTCACTGCTGAAACCATTCACGCTGTGGCGCAGGTGGTGGGCTCTTCCATGCCCCTGGTAGGAGAGCACCAGGCTGAGGACAGACAGCTTATTGCAGACATGGTGCTGGTAAAAATGAACGAGTCAGCCGAGAAGGAAGCTAATGCTCCCCAGAGGCCCACCACCATACAACCATCCCAGGTATAGTAACACAAAGGCCCAGGGCACAACAGACTGTCTCAGAGATTAGAAATTATAATGATATGTGTAATGCATAATGATAATGTGCTCTATAGCGTATGTTATAGGATACTGTCTGACGTGTATATTGCAGCTATTGTTTTAGATCTCACTACAATACGTTGTTGCTGAATAAGTAAATTGTTTCTTTCTATAGGGAGCTGGCCAGAAGGGAGAGGCTCTCAGTGACCCCACTAAGAATGGAGCTGGGCACCCACCTCAAGGTTGTCTGCAGTACATTCTTGACTGCAATGGTGTTACAGTGGGTCCAAAACCAGTCCAGGCCAACTGAGTCACCCAGGAGGAGGGAAAGGAGGAGGAAGTCTCAGAGTCCAGATAACAATGGCATAAACTTAGCTGAACACAAGCACAGATGTGTGCGGTGATGCTGAGAGCTAGAATCAGATCTTGGTGATGTGAGCTTGGTACAGCTGAGCACTGGCCTGGACTGCGTTTTCAACTCTATGCAGTGTCAAGATGTACTGTCTACTTGTTGACCGGTTGATTTGTGTGCTTGCATAGGTCACCTACGTTCCAGTAGCTGTGTTTTTTTCTTTGGGGCTGTTGTTGATGATGTAAAAAAGCTAATTGTGCCTACACTGAGTTCAGCGCTGCTCTGTGCTACCCGTTTGACCGAGCTATGAAACTTTTATTTGCTCACCTGCCCCTTTCTGTTTTCTATTTTGGTGTGTACTCTTAGATATTGTTCAAATTGTGGACTATCGTGTAGTTTGAAGTTTGTGTATATCTCAGTATACAGTATGTGGGTGTGTATGGCTGTGCTGGTGATTATTTTCATATTCATACTAATAGATATTTATTTTTGTTTTGCATGATTGATAACAAAGGCAGGTGCAAGTCTGTTATAAATGTCTGATTAAGTGGGATGTTCCTGTAACATTGTGGTTTTACCCAAGCTGTGTTCCGTGTGATTCATGCATTGTGAATGTGTCATAACAAATGCGTATTACATAGGTCCTGCAGGATATATGTACTCACTACCAAACACGCATTAACGCAGTGAGTGTGACACTATACACTCTTGCATACACATACAACAGAACCATGCAGTGTTTTCCCTTACTTAATTTTAACCTTTTCATCCGTGCCACAAGAGAATATTTACACTGATTATAAAATGCGAATAGATGAATACGTAATAAATATTGAAACTAGTCCAATATTTATCAAAGATTTTATTATATATGATGTTGTGCAATTGTCTGCACACACAGCCTCAATATCTGTATAATTTTGAACCAAAGAAGAAAAGGTTTACTATAAAACAGTCTTTGCACTCCAGTAACTCACAGTGTACATATCATCAAGGAGATAACGCTAATCTTGCAGTGTGTCACATGGAGCGAGAACAGTGCTCCTAGACACTACTTATGTTATCAAACAGCCTGTTGTAAATCACATATCAGTGAACTGATGCTGTATTCAAACTGTTCTTGTCTTTTGTGTTCAGCTGTCTAGAAGCAGACATTAATGGTGATAATAGAAAGGTGTGTAATGTGTGATTTGCCATGCAGTGTAGATTCCCCTCCCATGGCCCTCACACTGTATGTTGACTATCGTGGTGGTGTTGCCATAACAACAGTGGATGCGCTCTGAGGTTTAGTGTGGACTTGTATCCGTGTTACTGCCATTCAAAGATTCAACATTTTTACACTGATCACACTTTTCCTGTGAGTTTATGGAGAGTGCTATATGAATATTTGGATTTTTTTTTGTTTTTGCTCAATAATGTATTTATTTTGAAATCAATTCTTCCATCAAACAGATTCAAAAATTTTTAGTCATCCACACATTTAATTGTTTAACAGTGATTTTACAAATGTCGCAGTCACTCGGTTGTTGTCCAGTGGCTTTTGCGGAAGCCATTTCATATATCCAATATTCAAAATTTTGAAACAGCTAAATCGTAACCAAATCAACTGTATAAGGAAATCTGTACCATTTGCCAACAATTTGATTGTTACCCTAGTATAAAATCAGTTTAACCAGCTCTGTGTGCAGTTCTTTTCCAAGTTGTATAAAGCACCACTGTATCTGTGAGCTATGCCTGAGGCTTTATGGATGTGTTGATCTGTTTACTAGGAAATATGCCATGACAATGTTTTCCAAAGGAGTAACATGCAGTGATACCCTAGTCTGTAACAGCTGCATGACTAGAACTTGGTTCAATGATTGTGATTGAATATCTGATCAGTTATACGTAACTGGGCATGTTTATTTACCCATCATGTTGAGGTGAAACCTATATCTTCAGACCTGCAGGACTGTAACTATTAAGGGCAATAGTAACTTGTTAAATATGTGTACTGTTAAAACTGCTGTTGGACTGTTTAAATCAAAATCACAATACAAAATATTGTGGAAAAAATTCCAATCTGGATATTTCCCCTCTGTCACTGGCAATAAAGTTTCCTTTGCAATATACAGTATGTTTGGTCCGTGTCCTCATATATGTTGTGTTGTGAATAATACTATTTCTCAAGGAAACACTTATGGTCAGCAGTGTTGCAGCCTTATCATTACACAATCTCATGGGGAGTCCATACCACTCTATTAAACTGCTGGACGCACTGCATCACTTCCAATGCATGAAGAAATAAATGTAGTGTGAAAATGTACTCCCTCTGCTTTCTTTGTGTGTTTCCTTTGTGGTGTCTGTCTTCCTTATATGTTGATAGTGTGGCACATGATACATCTGTCAGATAAACTAATGAATAAACCAGTGACATGTGAGATGTGAGTACATGCTAGGATTCATACAAACATGAAATGTACACCTTCTCACTGTTCTGTCTGCATAGCTAAGATGCTTGAATATCATAAATATCTCTTGTGCTGAAATTAGGGTCCAAAATGGAACCCCAAGGATTGCGTTCACAAAGGCCTGCTCCAAAGTTGACCCTCAAATCTCCTGCAAAGGATTTAAACCCGAAGCTCATCCCTGCAGCACAGCTATCTCAGTCTGTGCGCCAAGACTCTCTAGCATCAGGAGGACAGCAGGTCAAGTGTAAGCCAGCATCCCAGCCTCTCAGAGAAAACATACATCTTTATCCACAGGAAACTGTGGATCTTGAGCAACAGCAGTCTCTGCTGGGAGATCAAGCCACTGAAGAAAAAGCACAGGGATACCCACAACCGAAGTAAGAACAAATAGCTTCAGTCGTCAGGGCTCAAATAGGAGCTCTAGCTATTTATTCAACTAAGTTGTGAATTCAGTGGCCACGTTATTAGGAACACCTGTGCAATCTAATGCTATTTATTGTAACAGTTCTGCCATAAATTCTATTTGCATTATATTTACAGGTGTCTCAACTTTTTTTTGTCCTTCCCATTTACAAATATGAGGGGGCAGAATATTAGAAACACTTCTGAATATAATTCTGTCCAGTACAACAACACCACTAACTATGACATCAACACTAAAACATAAAGCAGAATTAGCCCTTTATATGGCAGTATCCATAAATTTACCTTATATGTTCGTATAAGTATAATTTAAGGCAGAGCTGTTGGACTGAATCCCATTACACTGAATGCTTGTAAAGTAAAATAAAGTGGCCACTGAGTGCACCTACCCTGACTTGCTCAGCACATAAAGTCATAATTCTTTTGTCTTCCAGCAAATCCCAGCCTCTGATCAGTTCCTTTGGGCTCAAAAACACATCCTTTTTCCACACTGCCAACGAAAACATGACAAGCGCTGAGACCATCCACAACTTGAGGAAGTCCTTTGCGAGTCTGTTCTCTGAATAAAAAACACTTTTATTTTCAGCTGGTCACTTGCATGTTTGCTTAGTTATACATAAAGCACAGATACTTTATAGTAGGTGTACTGCTCGTGCAATTAAGGTGAATCTTTTCCAGTGAGATGTATCCCCACTCCAAGTTTAATGAGTATTTTTGAGTTGTGATTGTATTCCATAATTACAAATGTATTTTTCTGGTATTAATGTAAAACTATCCGCAACATTGCCAATAATTATCAATAATACACTCAAGAGCATGTACATTACTATCACACTTTCCTTCAGAATAGCTTATAATGCATTGCTGTGTTAGTTAGATATTAGTTAAACTGACTAACATTGATAAATACTGTGTGGTAAATAATGGTTGCAGTGGTTATTTGTATCTATTTCCACTAACATCAGCTCATCATGGTGCTCAAAGTTCTCTGAGAGAACACCAAGACAAAGAGGGAAACATACTTTCACATATATCACACTGTAGGCATCGGCACAGTTCCAGTTATTTCCAGACAAAGTGAAGAAAGTGCGATGGGTTGATCACGAGACATTCCATCTGAGAGAAACCTGTCAATCCGCAAGAGCAGACAGATTTTATCGGTTTTATATGATCTTCAGCTACATGGCAAAATAGCTGCAGTGTTTCTGTTTCCTTCTTTTTGTTTCTTTATTGTTAACTGAATTGACTAATGGTTATAAAATGGAAAATACAATGTTAACAAAGTTAGAGTTACATTTGTAATCTTAACAAGACATGCATTGGAAAACACACCGCACATGCATTTATTATCAAGATATCATACATGGTACTTTAACACTTATTTTTAGGTTGTTTTAGTATCTTTGCAAAAACATATTTAAGTTGTGTTCTGCTTTATTATTATTATTATTATTATTACTATGGACACATACTGATGCAGTCTGTCTTTCCAGTGTACAGTAGAGGTCGCTGCAATATAAAGAAATGCTGAGACCATAACAAACCCCCTGCAGACATGTTTTCAGATGGATAAAAATAGCCTGCTTAGAATAACAATATGTGCTTCTGCTGTGCTTTTTCCACTGAAATGTTCAAGGGACTACTTGTTCTGCCTCATTGAAAAATCCAGATTCTGCAAAGACTGTCCAATTCAAAAGATAAACTGCTGGAAACTATACACCTCCTACCTCAATGAAAAGTCCAAGTTTCCACATCGCACATGTGTGTAAGTTGCATTCTGAACTATGACTGACTAACAGATAAACTGTGATGTCATGCTCAAACATACCAAGTTAAACTCAAACTTAGGGTGAGCACAAATGAACTTTCGCACTTCAACACATGAATATGAAAACAGCTTTCAAGTGGCAAAGTCTTCAGATTCACCTGCACAGTTAAGCTCAAATATTCAAATGATGTTACTGTAACTTATTATTAAAAATAGAATTACCACCTTATGGTCGTATGCCTCTGCCGACCAAGTTGAGGTTTACATGCATGTGTGTTCAGACCCGTATAAAAATGTAGTGAAGACTGAAGGAATAAATAAAGAACATTAAGTGTATTGTTTTGGCAAACTGAAAGTTATCGCTATTGTTGTTTCTACAGAGGAACACAGTGGGCTGATAGAAAGCTTTGTCACATCGTCCTTGAGCCCAAGTGGACATTTGTGTGAAATTTGAATAAATACTCTCAAGATGTTCTGAGATATCATATTCACAAGAATGGGAGGACAGACAGACAAACGGCGCCCGTAAACATAATGCCTCCAGCCACGGCTTTTGTGGGTGCAGAGGCTTAACAAAGCAAAATAAAATTAATTTGGAGAAAGGGATAGCTTTAAAATGTCACATTCTTTGAAAATGTTAATATTTACAAATACTGTATTAACCATATAATTCAAGACTATTTTAGCCCTTCTTACTGATGGTGTGCTCATCCTCTTGGTATTCAAGTGAGGCTGCTCAGAACTTTGTCAAGTGCCAACAGCTGCCAGAACACTTTCTGCATACAGTAATGGACATGGCTCCAGAGGCCCTTCTGTGTCATGACCTGATTACAGGTGTGATGATATATCTGCTATGCTGGAGCTAGATAACTGCGCACTGGACTATCACATCTGGTATTTGTCTTAGAAAAAGTCACGATTCATTAAGCAGAGTCACACTGTTTGCTTTAACATATATCAGAAAACATCTTCACATTTATATGGTCAACATTATGGCGTCCAGATGGTTTTAATGTTTTTTCCTTATAACAAGTCCAAACTGACCTGGTCTGGAAATAGTAAAGAAGTCAAAGGAACGACACCGTGGGGCCCAGGACTTCAGCTGAGGAGCTTCCGTCTAGACTCCTCCCAGCTGTCTGCCAAGCTGCTGCACAACATGAACAACTTGTGTCCCCTGTGGGGGCACATTGCTCTGGCCATCTGCTGCAGAAAACAGTGTAAGAGATGTATTTTCATCCCAAAATGAAGGAGAAGGTAAAGATGACATGGTAAACACTGGGATCTTTGACTATCATGTAATGAACGTTATTATTAATTTCAGATTAGAATCACAAAATAACAAAACAAAGTGAAACTAATAAACAGGGCTGCATCATTTTCATTACTGATTAGGTCATCTGCAATTTTTCCAATTAATTAGTGACTAAAAGTTGAGAGAATTCTTTTCCACTTTTTTTGTCTGTTCATCCACTGATCAATATTAGTTTCAGCTGTAGAAAAAAAGCCATCAAAATTGCTTTTTGAAACAACTAAATACTGAAGCCATCTGGTGGTAGCATTGACGCTTACACGCAGTATCTGTGTAGTTATGGTCACTTGAGCTGCATGAGTGCCTTCAAATACAGAGCTGACAATCACAACACTTATATTTTCGTGTACTTTCAGTGTACTTCTGCTTTACTTGAGTGTTATTTTTACCTCTATATTTCAGATATTTTTCTTTTACCGTACTACATTTATTTGACAGTTTTTCATTCAAATTCATTTGAATACAGGACTTTTCCTTGTAATGGAGTTTTTTATTGTGTTATGCTGGTACTTTTGCTAAAGGATCTGAATTCTTTTTCCACCACTGATCACTATGCAGGTCTTTTATGAAGCAGGCTGACATCAAGGAGGAGAAACCACTAGATGGAGCCATTGTGAGAAAGGGAAGTAGGATGTTTGGGCTCTTTTCGCTGATTTCATTCTGTCCAGCCTGTGGGGCTGGTCAGAATGCAGAAATAGAACGGATAAACACATACAGCAAAAAGGTCAGCCGATAGCTTTGCTCTTATTGTCTTGCTCCACTTCTGATGTCATCAGCCCTATTTTACCCTGTAATGGGGCTTTTTGAGTCATGTGATTGAAATGAGATAAAACTCTCAAAAAACCTTCATCATGTTTCTGGCACTGGGCTCAATTCAAAGAGCCATAAAACATAAAAAAATAAACAGTTATTGTTTAACTTATATTTAGATTACATCAAATATTCACATATTTATTATAAATGTGCACTTTGGACTAAACCAAGTCAAGTGGTCCTGTCCAGAAAGAACTACACATGGGATGTTTATACTAAAACAGTTGTAACTGTCCTCTCTCTTTCCACCACGTCCCTCCCTTTCTTAATGACTGTTGTTCCACTGAGCTTGCCAGCGGTTATGCAGTGCACAGTGCCACCAGCCAATGGTGGAAACCCCTAGTGGCGTGTCTGGACTGGATCCCTGGTGAGGTTACACCGAGTTGCCACTGCTACAGCAAACATCACACGCTGCCACAAAGTCTTGCACCTCTGTGGGTTTTTTTTAAAAATATTTTTCTGGCAAGAGGCAGTGTGATCTGATGTCAACTGCCCACCTCACCTGCTCCCACCGCAGCATTTATAATGAAGTTCAAGTTACAAGGTCACATGGTTCTATGTAGAAAGAAATTGTCTGAACAAGTAAGAGAACAAGTGCTTCGGACTTGGCACAAGGAATATCTGTGGAAGCTGGTGTTTCACCGGATAGTGTGAGGAACATTGCATGGAGGCCACCTCTACAGCCAGCATCAAAGGAGAAAGCCACTGCTCACAAAAGACAACAAAGCTGCAAAAACAAACTGTCAAAGAAAGAAGCCTGATGAAACTGCAGAACATTTTTTGGTCAAGCAAAACCAAAATTAATTTGTTTGGATCAGATGGGACCTGACCAGAGCCACCATAGTGAATGCAGAGTGCTGACTGTGAAGCATGAGGCTGCCTGAGTGCAAAATGTAGAGATACTGTATTTATAAAAGGCATTATGAATCCAAGGTTGTGTACCCAAATGCTGAATGAAAGGATGCCCCCCCAAGAGGTTTGCAACATAACAATGATTTCAAGACACTGCAAAAATTCCACTTTCTTTTTAAAGTGTAAACTATGACCTGGCCAAGTACAGATGGGTGACAAATGAAAGGAAATGCCAACATAAAGTATGTTAGTAAAGTGTTGGGGCCACCACAACAGCTTCACTGCACCTTGGCATTGATGTGACAAGTCTCTGAAATCTACTGGAGGGATGAACACCATTCTTCACGTTCGGTCCAAATCTCTCATAGATGTTCCACTAGGTTGAGATCTGGTGACTGTGGAGGTCACAGCATATGATTCACATCATTTTCATATTGATCAAACCATTCAGTGACCCCTTATATCTTATGGATGGGGCCTCTGGGGAACCTCATCTGTGATGTATGGCAGAACAAATACCGGTATATATATTCATTCATGATATTGACCAGGGGAGTACTACATTTTGTTAAATACTTTGTGTTGACTAATAATTTCCATAATTCAATTTCCATTACAGCAAATTTAACTTAATTTTATTAAAATATTGAATAGACAACTTTCTCAAATTCACAATAAAAAGTTTAACCTCCAGAAAGAGACATGACAAACAAATACAAATTAGTTTCCAAATCATTTAAAATATTTAAGACAACTGCCAAATGTCCAGCTCATGATAACCTACCCACGGTAATGACTGATAAGAACGTGTGGGCACATTTTAGTTTCCGCAGAGCTATGAAACCACTGTGTCGATGGTTGCAACAAAACCCATCACCTTTGCTAAAATGTGCAAATTCAGTTTTCCATCACTTGTGCTTGCTGTCTGACAGGCTATGATTCCTCCATAAAGACCCAGAAGTAACAACAACAAAAAGTCAAAGACAACAACAAAAGAAAGGATTTCGCAATTCTACTCCATTATCATTTAACACAATGCAAAATAAACTACTACCGTGCAACTAAGTGAACTACATCCAACAGCTTTGTTTGTGACAACAAGAGGAGGTGTACTTGTGCAGGATCTTAATCCAGGTTTTGTTTCCTCTCAAGGCAGGTACACTTTAAAGGTCTTCTTCATGAGAACTCGGGTCGGCAGGATAGAAGGGTGCGCTTCACATCACAGAAGCCAAACCAAGAGACATCTGTCTTCTGTTGAGCTTCCTTCTAAGTCCATTTATCTGTCTTAGGTAGGTGTGCATGCACGTATTTGCAAATGTCATTACATGCATTGCCAACTTGGAGCTTTTGCATACTTCTTAATATGTGCAGTCATAAACAAGGCACCACCTCAATGTATCTCAGGCCAACTTCACGTCTTCCTTCCACTGTAATTCATCATCACTTGCTCCCTTCCATAGTTAAATCTCAGATGCACTTCTCATTGTACTTCCCTCTCTCCTCTTTTTATTACATATTTTATTGATTTGCATGGATTTATGTGTGATTGCATGTACATTTTTAGGTCTATATTGGCATCTATACGTAGAGGGTGGGTGTTTGAGCATTTGGACTATTTCAGATATTTCATGGAGGAGGAAGGGAGTGCTGTCTGAGCCTCTAGAAAACAGGCAGTCTGGTGGAGGTCAGAGTACAGGCATTGATGTCTTCAGTGTGAGAGGCTCTGTGCAGGGATGGTTCTGAGGCACTGTGGTTTATCTTAGGAAGGGCATGCTGGAGAAGTTCAATTGAAGACAGAATCTAAAAAAAAAATAAATAAAAATGGTATGAAACCTTCATTCAGGTCAATATCTACAGTTATCAAGAGTAGTTCACCTGCGGGAAGAGCTGCCTCTCATCCTTGGACTTCTTGATGCAGTCGGCCACCAACCTTTTCATGGCTTTGGGACAGTTCTTATAGAGCTTACTGAGATCTGGGGACAAGTAGCCTCTTCCAACCATGAAGATAATCTGAAAGGGGAGGATGAAACTACTGAGTATTCTACACACTACTAGTAGGAGACACCTCATCAATCCTAAATCAGCGGTCCACCTCAGTGATACTTTATAAATATAGCCAGTGAGTTTGTGACAGGCATTTAAAACTGCAGCTTTGTAAAGGCATGAGTGCCTCCTGCTGCTGAGATAAAGGATAATGAGAGCACTCTGTTCTTGCCAGGTCAGCTGAGTACAAAGTCATTCTACAATATCAAGGAGAATATGGCAACAACTGCAGATCATAAAATTACTAACGGGAACACTTTGTACAGCAACTTTAGCCTGATTGGAATAGAGACGCAGTAAACTGAACAAGAAGCCAGACACGATCCTGACCAGTGGCCGGTTAGAGAACGAAAAACCACAGACACACACACATGCACCCCTTTTCTCACACACATACGGGGTTGTGTTACGGTGTCTAAAATTAGGCCCATGGCTCCAGGGAGCCTGTTCCATGGTGCACCTTAGGCCAGCTCCACAACCCCCTTCAGACAGCACTGCACTGTCTTTCAGCTACCTTATGGCCTGGGTTTGCAGCTCGACACTGGGAGCAGAGCTTAGACACATGACTGAGTATGCAATTAGAGCTCTGTTTGACATGACCAGCTCTAACGTAATGGCAAAAAGTTTTTTTGTGGAGGAACACAATGGGCTGCCAGTATAATTTGCATTTACAGTAATACCACTAAATTACTGCCACCTGTCATACAGTTATGATGTGTAAACTTTACCTGATCTCTGTTTGCTATCTGGGAGTATGGGAGCTCTCCTGTCATGAGCTCAAAGAGAACAATTCCATAGGAATAGACATCAGACTGGAAGCTGTACGGATTGTTATCCTGCATCCGGATAACCTCAGGAGCCTGTCAACATACAGGAAAAGACATCAAGTATAATGACGGACAGTTTCTAGTTTGTATTCTTTATTTTTATTGCATTTCACAACTCAATACAGGTGCTTTATTACTGTAGTGACATTAAAGCTGTGTAACTGACCATCCAGAGAATAGATCCAGAAGGTTGCTCCACCTGATGTGAGCCGCTCCACCTGGCCTTAACCGTAGCAAGACCAAAGTCTCCAATCTTCACTGTTAGCCCTTCATGCAGGAAGATGTCTACACCACTGTCAAGGAATTTACAGCTAAAACGCACTCAAGAAACATACATCAGCCATTATGAAGATGATAGTATATGAAAACCTTTTATCTGCAATTTCAACATAGTTCAAGTACCTTATCATTGCTGATAGAAAGGATACTATTGGACTTCATATCACGATGAATGATGTTCTTTGCATGCAGATAGCTGAAAATGAGAGAGAAATTTGATAAGATCTAGTTCATTTTTTTTTAAATGTTGGTTTTGAAATAAATGCTCTTCTTCAAGACCTACTCCATGCCCTGAGCCGTCTGTCTGGAGATATCTATGAGCTGGATCATCTTGAAGTTTGTCTCCAGGACGTGAATATGTTTGTAGAGGCTGCTGCCCTCACACCACTGTGTCACAATGGCCAGGTTGTCCTTCGTCATGTAGCCCATGAACAACAGGATGTTGACATGTCGTGTTTTCCTGCGACAGAGGCAGAGGGGGGAGAGGAAATCAACAAAACAAAGTTAAGATACAAGTTTGCAAGGATGATGATTCATCAAGTAAATAAACCACCAGTTTGCCAATGTCAAAACAGCTGAAAGCTCTAGCTGTTAGCCACCTGAAACAGACACCGTATGCATGTTATCCTGTATGTCTTACCTCAGGACAGCCACCTCATTTCTGAATGCCTGGAACTGCTCTGGTGTGGGGTCAGTAACCTTTAAAATCTTCACTGCCACATCACCTACAACACAAATACGCTACTCAGCTACAGCTGATGCATGAGATCTACAGTAAATGCAAATGAACAACAGCGCTACACACTCCCTTATAATTACCAAACCATTTTGTGTCATTTCAAAATGTTATTTGTATAATGAGAAAGTGAAAGTGTTAGCAGTTCAACCTGAAAGTGCCCTGCCCTGTCTGAAGTGCATTCCTACCATGCCATTTCCCTTTGTATACAGTTCCAAAGGAGCCTGAACCAATGCAGGAGTTCAGATGGACCTCGCTGGCCTCGATCTCCCAGTAGTAACTCGAGTCTCGCTTGTCTCGAGGCCTCTGAGTGAACAGAAATAATTTAAAAAAAAAAGTGCAACTGATGTGAGAAGAACAAAATAAACATAAGTGGGTGTCATATGTTAGTATTCCCCCAGCACGGGGTCCCCTTTGTTCCGGGGCCCTTAGTGAAAAAAAAAAAAAAAAAAAAAAAAAGTGCAACTGATGTGAGAAGAACAAAATAAACATAAGTGGGTGTCATATGTTAGTATTCCCCCAGGCAGAAAGTATTTATTGCATCCACAACATAGAAGTCAAGATCCAGAACTTACGATTTTATTTTTCTCCTGAGTGTTGAAGGACGGGGCCCTCTCTCGCTGGGCAGGTGCCGGTGCTTTGGACTGGGACCAGCCTGTAGGGCTCTGGTTGGGTGAACTCCCTGCTTCAGGAATACAAAGAGGAAGGGAAGGAAGGGATTAAGGATGGAAAACTTTGCCTGTGTCCAGTGTCATTCAATACACACTGTAAAAGGAATTCTATGTAGAACACTACACTGAGTGGCAGATGGCAAAATCCAAGTAGCAATTCCAGGCACTAGTCAGGTCGCTCTTCTTATCTGGAAGCCATATTAATTTCCATGTTTTTACTGTCTGTGCAATGCATGATGCTAGTTTATGCTCAGTTAGTGACCATGGATTTTACACTGCCTATTAAGATGCAAATAAATGGAGGATAACTCTCTCTAGACATTCAGGCAACATTACAAACTGGCAAACACATGACTATACAATGAGTACTAAACAATTTGGGACACAACCTTTAACCCGGTTCTCTGCCTTCATGTTTTCCTTTGTATCAGACTCAAAAAGAGAGTTATGATTGACAATGGCAAAGTAGCTCTCAGGCAGGAACGACCCATGATGTACACACGAGTAGAAGTTGCTACTGATGGAAAAAAGATTGATCCATAAAGATTGATGATCACACATGGAGCCGTTTTTCCTGTTTTAACAGCACATCCAACTTACTCCTGCATTACCAAGCTTTACTGCTTCACTAGTTTTTAATTACTATTAAATGTAATGAGTAAACCTCAATGTCAGATGGTGTGAAATTCTCAAAACAATCTGAATATGAGCTATGTTTTAAATAATGTCATGATCAAAGGTGAGATGTGTGGCAACGGTGAATGGGGGGGAGGTACTGCGAAAAAGTGCACAACATGAAGCTAGTAAAATGCAAAATAGATACTTACTGGAGTCATGATCACGCATTGCATCCTAGGGAAGAAAAAAAAACAGTTCTGTCAGCTTGTACAAACAGTAAATCACATGCTGTGCTGTCACTTAGATGTGCTGTTCAGTACTAAGATGTGAATGTAGATAGCCTGTTTGCAAGGCATGCCATTCAAGACTCCACACAGACATTCTGCTTTCTAACCTTTTCTGGACTCTCAGGTGAGGCCTCAACAAAAGACTGGGAGAAGTGCACAATACCTACTTTCCTCTTCAGCCAGAATCTATGGCACCAGGAGCTGGGGGAGGTATTCAGGCAGTCTAGCTACTCCCCAGCAGTGTACAATACAACAGGCCAGAGAGGACAAGAGGGAAAAGGACATGGTAAAGGAAAGTGAGGAAGGAACAATGACAAGAGTGATGCTCAGGTTTCTACCTGGGCAGAATAGAGATAGAGAGGAAACCTTTACAAAGCATGCACAACTGGTGAGCTGATTATGCAAGAATGTTGGAAGTAAAAAAAAAAAAAAGCAGAAACTAAAACTGAACAGGGGGAAGTCAAATGTGGCACATTTTTTAATCAGTAAAATAAGTTGCACAAAACAGGCTGAACCCTGTCCAGGTGGATAACTTAATACAGAGGAAGATAAGAGGTGAAAAAAAGCAAAGAGAAGATAGTTGGAAAGTCTGAGATGGACGTAGGAGGGCAAGATCACTCTCAGGCAGGAGATATTTTAGGAGTGGCTGCCTCAACCTACAGGAGTACCCAGGGGACCCATCTGGGGTGTAGTTACCTCAATCATGCCGCTGTCTACAGGCAGGGTAGTGCTAACCATGTGGACATTGGGCGTGGAAGTGGAGCGCTGCCTCTGGGAGAGACCGCCGCCTGGGGGTGGGTAGGGTGTGGTGTAGTTGAAAGCATGAGGGGTGGAATATCGGTGGGCTGAGCTGCAAAGGTGAACAAGGTTCAAATATCAAGACTGTTTGCCCAAATCCTATGTCACTGCTTCAAACTGGCACATGGTTTTGACATTTAACAGAAAGGCATGCTGAATTCTGTAACTTCTTTAAAATTCAGCCACCGTGGGTGTGGTGGGTAGTGCAGGGGCTTTCTGGTTTCATTTCTGTCTTTGCTCATTTGAGTATCATCTGTTTATGTTGTGCCACCAACAAACTGATACCAAAATCAACAAGAGGCAAACAACAACAAAAATACCAAGGTAACACTGAAAAACAGCACTATGAGGAAGTAGCTATTGGTTAATGTTATTGTGGCCTTTGCCTTATTCCATTATTGGCCAACTTGACACTGCAGAGGTATTCTCCCTTTGATGTTTGCCAAGATCAGAGCTGGCTCAGCTGACTAGTACAAAGCTCACCAGTGAAATATGCTACGCTCAATCCAAATACTGGAACTGACTTAAGGTCCTCACTCTTACAAGCACAAAATGTAGTTTTAACAAGTTAAAATACCCTAAAACATATCTAGAAATAAGACCTCTAAAGTCCATAAACGAAACGTTCAGCTTAGAGTTCAAATGTCTTGATTCACCTCATGTTACTGAACCAGTAGCGGTACTGCGCCATAGCTACTGGTTAAAATGGGGACAGTGGGACTCCATTTGAATGACTATGTAAACAGAGATCATATTGCATCACGCTTATGATCATGGAGTGCACTCCATGAGAACAATCCCCCTTTTGTCAATACATGACTACATTTCAAAAGAGTCTTTGAGATTGCTCTGCATGGAACAACTCGATACATTGTGAGTGCTAATTTGGCAGCTCAGAGTGCTTTTAACCATTCCGAGTGCCCCTAAAACAACCGGGGCTTTTCACGGCTCAGGTAAGCCCCCACAAATCTGAGGATGTCGTTAAAAACAGGATTTAATTCAACTGAAATTAAGGCTATTTAGAAATAAAAACAAAACTACAGTTGTGCTGCAGACAAGCTCAACAAACGACAGAAAATGGAGTATATCTCTAATCCTAGGTACAATATGTTCATCCATCCTGCAATAATGAACAAAAACAAGAAGCTTAAAAAAAAAAGACAGAAAAGACAGATTGGACCAAACTATTTTCTTGTACTCCTAGTTTTCCCCTCCCAAGGGTTCACCATTAAGTAATAACACCAAACCCTACATTAAAACTCCTGCAATGATCCATGAAGGGGCACCCTAGTGGGTGACACCATCAAATACTTAGGCACCACTGAAAACAAAAACCTCTGCTTAAAACAAACAAACAAAAAAAAACAACATTGTGTATTCATGAATACTGCCATCAAAGCCTATATTCTCTCTAAATAAAAAAAAAGAAGTCTTCTGGTTGCAAAAGAAGATGGTGGCACACTTAAGCAAAAGATTTTTCACGTCTGTCACAGGCATAACACACAACTCTTCACCCTAGTAGAACAACAACAGTTTCTGATGCCCCCGTCATTTACATTTTGTTGTATGTATATGCTATATTTTCACTGTGTCGTCTTATTTGTGCATCTGACTGTGGGAAAAATTGCCTTGAGGACATTTATGTACTTTACAAAACTACCAGATGCTTAAAAAAAAGCAATAGCAGGATAATGTCATGGGCAGATCAAGGATAAGAACTTTTCCTCACCTTGGAAACCGTGTTAAGGATTCTCTCATTCGCCGGGATGTCACTGATGGCAGTGATGGGGTGCTGCTCTCACCAGGTGTTGGACACAAACTGAAGACAAAGTGAAAGAGAGAGTGAACTGCTAATAGCAATGTGAGAGAAAGTGTGAGCGCTTAATCAAGTAACAACTGACAGTTAAAGCTTACAGTGGTTGACAAGTAAACATGTTTATCTCTTTACTCTCAATGATATGGATCTGTGGGTGATTAGACCTCCAGCCTGCATGCAAAGCAACTAATTAGCCTCTATTCTCAGTGCAAATGTCCAAAGCCATATATACAAATTGGAGACTTGTAGTATTTGAATTACCTTTAAGAAAACTCTAAGCATCCTCACAGAGAATGGGTTTAGGATGGTGTGCATGTCTATCAGTTATATTTCTATACTGATGTACACCGTTACAGAATATACTGAAACATTACTGTTGTTACATTATGCTCTCACTTCAAACTGAAGACACTTACAGGAGTTGTCTGATATTGCTCCAGTCCACACACATTGTGGGCACTTTGGTGCTACAATGCTCATGGAATTTGTAGCCGCAAGTTTGACAACGGAAGCCGTTCAAAAGAAACTTCTGGCAAATATCGCAGAAAGCTAGCTTCAGATATGTTTTCCGAACCTGAAAACAGTAGGAAAAAAGTGCATTTATTTCTTTAGCACATCCATTGGTTTAAGAGTTGAAGATTTCGTAAATGTTTCAGGCACTCACAAAATTATGTGTGGTCAAGGGAACGTGATCTAAAACCTCCACCAGCAGCTCTTCCCCAATCAGTGAGGTGGGGTCAGTATTCCAATCCATTCGTAATTTTTTACTGATACAAAAAAAGTTAAAGGATTTACATGAAGGGATATCAAAGCAGGCAAAAGAACTGCAGCAGGGAAGAATGTGATCTCTATAAACTCTGATCTTATTCCCGTGGTTAGAAACGCATGACGGTGCTGAGCTCACCTCGTCTGTCCTGGATGCAGCCTGAAGACAGCACAGCACTGAGGCTGCAGACCTCGCACTTTCAATGCTTTAATCAGGCAATTGTGCAGAGTCATACCCGGTCGCACATTTACCTGGGGGACAAAATAAATAATAACAATAAAATGAATTCCTCCTGTGTGCCAGGATGTAACAGTATGCCATGTTCTACCTGTAGTGGAAATCAACTCACCACAGTGCGCTGCTGGTTCGGGAGGTAGACACGGATAGTGCTGCTAGTCTTGGAGTCAGGCATCTTGCTGTCATCAGAGGAGCGACGCTGGCAGGTAAAGCCCTGGACCATGGTTGGGGAAAGGCATGGCCCCTCGAATGTAGAGTCCTTCATTCCAAAACCATTGCTCAGAGTCTTCCATGCTCCCTGGAGGTGCTCCATTAGTAAATAGTCCTCTCAGTGGTCTGAAGAAAAGAAAAAAAAAACATAATACATGCACACATATACAAACAGCTTGAAAGGTCACATGACAACTTCTTAATGTGACATTAGCTCTCTTTCTCTTTTGTAAGGATGCAGGTGGCGTGCAGACCCCTTTAATCATTACGGGCCTATGTAAGTGTTTAAATCTATCCACAGTATCTGCCCTGTTGTCTTGAGAAGTGGCTGCAAAATGTTTGATGGTTTTGTTTCAGCGACAAAGCAGCTGTGGTTGGCTTGAGAGGACAGCGGAACCTAACAGTGTTTCACAAAAAAGCAACAAAACAAACATGTTGGTTATGGCATCAAGAGTCTGTCTGATGTAATCTCCAAACATAATCTCACCAACCCCCTTGATGATGGTGTGATTAGAGCGTTTCAGGGTTATGTCAGAAAGTGAACAGCAAGTCTTTCAGAAGTGTGTCAGGAAAAGTTAAAGCAAACACATACATTCTGACCCATTTACTGGTTTCGTGTGCTTATAAAACCAGTGGCTACAGAATACTGCATGTCAGGGATTTTGACAAAAAAGCAGCAACTTTCTTTCCTTTCTATTTGCATGGGAGCACCAGAGCAATGTAAACAAACTAATCCACTCAGACAAGAAGAATCTCAAGTCAACACAAAGGTCGGCCATGTTATTTACAGTCAGACTTTTTTTTCTGTATGATCAGACAAAAGATAACTGAACATCATCAGGTTATAAAATACTGTCAAGGATCACAATATTCACCCGTAAAGTCTACTTAGAGATATCGAGGGAAAAATAACTTGAAAATACAGGTAGATGAAAAACGGTAACATCTGTACAACTTGAGAAAATTTGTCATCTGTCAACGGCAGCAGCCTAAAAAAAAAAAAAAACTGTTACAACTCCAGTTAGACCTACCCATCCCAGACAAATAGGCTCCCTCTTCTGCTTTGTTTGTTTTCAATACAAACTGCAGGACTATATATATTTAAACAGACACACACACACAGAGAGAGAGAGAGAGGTTTGATTCTTGGTCTTCATTTTCAGTGTGCAAACTTTCACGCTGCAAAACTTCTAATTATTTCAACCCCCACCCACAGCAATAACTGTAAACACACAGATGGGAACCAAACTTCTGCACAACACCTGTGACACCCTTTGTGTCCCCAGCTCAGAAAGGCAGGAACTGGAAGCATCTTGGGTCTCCCATTCTTCCCACTGCGCTGCAAGAACCGTGTTCACAAGTGCCACGATCCACGAAGTCCACAACAACAATACTTTACTTCCATCTGCTTAGATCTCTTCTAAATTACAGGTCAAACCCACGACAAAGGCTGCATCCACCAGCACAGTTTCCGTGACTGCAATGAAATCATACATGTCGGTGAGATCAGCAGGTTAGCATATTTTGGGAGAGTTAAGTGGAACGCCTTCAATCTTGAATCTTCCTACTAAAATCACTACAGGATAGGCCAGTACTATAGGCTAAATAAACGCGTGCCTGATTTTCACAGCTATAGAGTATATTTACAGCCGCGGCCTGGTTGACCCACTTGTAGCGGTGAATTTCCCCGAAGGCCCTCGGTGGCGAACTTTGTCGTCAAACTTCACTGCACCGCTCTGGTCACCCTCCATTCAAATTTGACTTGTTCAAACGATGCGTTTTCTTGGCCTTTTTGAGAAGCGGTGTTAATTGTTGTAATTAGCATTTCAGACATAATTCAAACAGTAGCCGTGTTAAGAGCCTGTAGCATGTATATGCTTACCAAGAGAAGTTACAAAAGTTTGCTCCGCCATAACTTCGGGAAAAAGTGGCGTCGGTGACATCATCATATTTGCAACGCATTCAGAGAAAAGAGGAAAAAGTCGAAGTTGGTAAAAACCTAAACCCTATCAAATAAATAAACTTGTATACCGTGGCACCAAAGAAAGACGTCGAGGTCATAGACGGGTCTCTTTTACGAGCCACCTAAAATAATAGAGGAAAAGCTGGATCTCCCAGTCGTGGTAAATGCGAAAACAATCCGTCGGACCCTCAAAGTGACACGACGAGGGATATTCTTTAAGGCCAGTGAAGCACTTTCAAATTAAAACTCCCGTACGTTGCTCGTCAATGCCTCTCCTTTCCAATCAATATTTACGTTGCTCAGGAGAAGTGGAAAAGGTTCGAGCTGGTGTCGTGCGTCCGTCTGACGCCAGTGATTGAAACAGGACCTGGCAGTCATAACAAGAGTTGCAATCATCACTCACACTGCGCAACTATAGCACAAATTTAAGCCCTCCCACTTTGGTGGTACTCTTCTTTTTGCACATAAAATATCTACAGTAGATTTTACACTATTAAGTTCTTATATTGTTTTGGATATCAGTGGGCTGCCTACACTACATTTAAAGTAATCCTCTGTAGCCTCTGCCAAAGTTTAGCTTGTCGCAAAGACCGATGCATAGTCTATGTAACATTAATATAAATTTTAATGCACATTCGTTAAAGTGGTTTAGTTGCAACTGTCTCTTTTGAAAAGTAGAAATAGGCCCACTACCGGTTTGGAGTAAAGGAGTGATCCAATGTTAACTCCAAGTGCACCATCATCTGGAGACTTGGGACAGTGCAACACTGGTGGAAATCACTTTGTAGCCTTCCTGATTATTGTGACAGCGTACACATGGCCTAAAAGACCAAAGATTCAAGTTGTGTGACAGCATGTAGGCTACAGTCAGAAAAAAAAGTTCATTAAAAAGTGCATACTTTTTAAATAGAGAGAAGGCATAATTCTTTAGTTAACGTGGATTTGAAATGCATCTAAATGTTAAAACAGGCTTAAATATAGCTTCTCTCAGACAAGAACACAGCTTCTTCTTTTCCAGTCTCGTCCTGAAACAGTGCCACTGTAAAACTGTAGCCTCCACACTCACCATGTGTTCACCTCTGTGGCATCACAGTCTGGGTCCCCTGAGGTTTCTTAATCAGAAATGGCTCATAGGTCCTTTCAACAAGCTGGAGTGACCATCTGAGAAAGAAACAGCTTCATCAACATCCTGGTCAATATGTCTTGATGGGTTCAGCATACAGTTTCCACAAAGCAGCAGCAGATAATTCTAGCTAGAAATCTGGCTCACAAAACCATGTTACATCTTTGTTTAACAACAAACTGGACTTTCTGTCATCTCACAATTCAAAGTACTTTTCTGAAAATGGCATTTTCTAACAGATATCCCATCTAACAAATAACAGAACAGAAATACTGTTCTGTGGAGATGAGGGCTGGGCTTTGTCATTGTGCAGTGTGTTAAGGTACCCCACCCCACATGCAACAGTACCACTGTATTTCCATGTCTTCATGGGATATTATGGTAATACATGTCTTCATTAATTCAGAATTTTACACCACAGTTGGGTATATTTTTCCCTGCTTTGTATTAAAGATCACGAGCTGCAAAATTACGACCACATGAAATAGAAACTGTAATCTCAGAGCTTTATAGCCAAAGCCACCTTAAGAATGAGATGAATGTATCTTTCCCACTTATTGATCTGACTGAGCACTCAGCCCAGTTAGCTGAGAGGCTTTAAGTTTCCATGGACTGTTGTCTTTATCTGTCCTCTTGTATTTAAACATTTGATGCAATCAGGACTGCTTAAACACGAAGGGTCTCCATAAGAATTAAACAAGAATATGTCTGTAAAATCATCAATTTGAAACACATGCATATCAATATTTGATTGTTTTGACTACACGTTGATTTAGGCCTATGGCCACTCACTGATTCTTTCAGTGATTATTAAGTTGTCATTTTATGTGTTAAAAACCAAAAATGGTTTAAAAATGCTTTACACTGTCTTAGGAATACATTCTTTTATTGATTTAATCATTGTTCATCGGCCTATGACCCAATGATTTAAAATAATTCTTGTAATGATTCTTGATTTCTCAGTCATGGTCAAAGAGAGATTTTTAATGTGCTTCTGTCTGTTTTTCACACTGCAAATTCACTTTTTTAGTTCAAATTGAGCAGTTCAGCACTGACTGTAACAGTGGCAGCACTCAGTAGTGATTACTTGTGTAAAAGCAGCAATACTACCATCTCAGTCCTGCATTCAAAATGTGACTTCAGTAAAAATACAAAAATACCAAAAGTACAGGTTCTTATTATGCAAAATCTCACATTTCACATTAATGTATGCAGTGAATTTATTTATTGATGCATTATTGTGTAGACCACAATTAATCTTGCAGCTGGGAAAGTTATGGCTAATTTAATACCCAAATTTTGGATAAATGCTGGGCATGAATTCAGTATCAATTAAGTGTCTGAAGGCTACCCAACAATTAAAAAAGTCACAGAAAAACATTTCAAGTTTCCTGTTTAATGGTGAACAAGAATCTGCATCTTATACACTGTATGTCTTGTTGCTCTTATATAGTATATATAGACCCATACCTTTTTTTTTATTAATTTTGGAAACTATCACATAAATTGTTATTGTTATATACTATAACTATATTTAGTCTTGTAGTAGTTGTAGAAGTAGTACCAGTTGCAGTTGTTACATTCGAGAATGTTTATTTCCCAAAAAGTTTCTAATGTTAAAAATTAAGATGCTAAAACAGGGTCAGTCGATTTAGGGAAAAGGTTTATTCTCTGGCCATGATTGGATGCTTCATAGAGGCGGTGCCAGACATCCTGGGTGCTGATTGGTTGTTTGCAGACTATGCCACCAATGACAGTGGAGGGTTTTATTGGATACTGTGAATGACAAATCAGGAACTCTCGCACGCACCGCATGCAGCGCAAAGGAGGAGGCGTAAACAGTGACATAGCTAGGTAGCCAACAAGGTAAGCAATAAAACTGCAACAAAAATATGTAATCAGTAGGTAGTGTATGTTTGTACACAGTCAATTGGTGATACATTAAAAATGATTAGAATGAAAGCTGGATGACTGGTTAGTTTTATTTTGTAAAAATGCAGGGGTTTAGTTTGGTCTTAATAACGTAGTATGGGCTTCTCAGTTTGGCCTGCTAATGTTAGCTCATCACAACGACTTTGGTGTGCACGTCATGCGCGGGAAATTATATTTTTATAGTATATTCACTTGAATAACTGTCATAAGCTATCAGAGGTAAACCTTTGTTTCTATAAGTGTTGTAGTGGCACTTTCTTACTGGATAAAAATGAATAATCGTCGACTGAATCGTGCTTGTTGGTCGTGATCGTGAGACGGTGGGCTAGCATGTGCTAGCCAGCAGTAATAGTGTCTCGCCAGTACGCAGAAAAATCAGCGTGACTAGGCCAACGCTAGCGTAGCTTCAACCTTTGGCATTTGTGTTTGTTTTGCGAACCCACAAACATTTCCAAACTACTTATTACCTATTTCGGACTCAACGTCGCTAAACGTTTTTTTTTAAACGAATCAAGTTCTCTTTTGCTTAATGCTATTTTAGCAGATGTTAAGTCAACACAATACGATGCAACGTGACTGCCCTCTAGAGCTAGCTTTCCAATGTAGCATACAGTCCACGGCATGCTTTCATGGCCGTTCATGTGGTAGTCAACGGCGTGTAGCGTTATATTGAAGTAAGTCCTTAAAGATAATTTAAACTCAGTTGTTTTTAGTTAACTGAATAGATGGAAGTCTCCCGGTGAACATTGTTGTTCCAGAAATTAGTTAGTGAAACAGTGTCATGTGAGCAATAAGTGGAGGCCCAGCGGACGTTCGGATGACCATTATAGGAATTATAACGTTAAGCAACAAGTTAGCCTTGGTACTAAGCGGCGGTGCAAGAAGTAATCAGATCCTTTACTTAGTTAAAAGTAGCAACAAAACAGTGTAAAAATACTCTGCTACAAGTAGTTGCAATCAAAAGTTAAGTAAAAGTACAAACATCAAAACAAAGTACTAAAAGTAAAGACTCATTATGCAGAATGGTACATTTCGTTGGTAAAGGGGAGCTAGTTTTAACTTATCTAAATGCATTTAATTTGAATTACTGCTGTGTAGCTTGTGAATTTTCCACCACAGATCAATGAGGTTTTTTACTGTATTTTTTTTGTATTAATCTGGTTCTGAAAACCAGTAACTAAAGTTATAAAGTAAATGTAGTGGAGTTAAGAGTACAGTATTAGCCTCTAAAATGTAGTGAAGTCAAAGTATGAAGTAACAGAAAATGAATTTACTCAAGTACAGATATTTAAAAATTGTACTTAAGTACAGTACTTGAGTAAATGTACTTACTACCACTGGTACTAATGCAGTATACATTGGGCTGCTTTGTGGTGTGATCCTGAGTATTGTTTTTGCATGTTCATTGCGAGGAGATTGATTACTTAGTATCTCCTTTTTTCCTAGCTTGATGTTTATAGCACTGTCAGCAAACAGAGGTTTGGCCTATGGGGATCACAGCATTATTCTGCTATAAGTTAGTCTGGTCGATGTAGTGTCAGTCCCAGTTATAATACTCAGCAGGTGAAGTTTTTATCCCTGAGTCTTGGTGTGTGTGTGTATTGGTATTTGAGTCAGACATTAAAAATTGTATTAAAAAATCTAAAATGGTACTCAAGTCTAGGCAGTTTGACAGCTTAGAGGTTGTTTTTTTTTCAGCTCTGCACAGGTATGGTTATCCTTAATTTCACGTTACTGATGACACTTGGTGTGCCCTGTCCTTTTAAAAAATATCAGCAGCACATCAGCTGTTCATTTTGTTGTGCAATGGTGTAAACAGCTGCATCAGTCAAAATGTGAGATTTCTTGAACAACAGTCCACATGTGTGGTAGAGTGAAGGCAAAAATCATTCCGATTGTTCTGGAGGACACTTGAACATTTGAACCACAATGAATGTAGAATGAAAGCAACAAACTGGAAGCCCTCAACCAATGCATGTGACAAATATGATTGTGCAATCAAATTTGACACAAAATAAACTTTGTTAGAACTTTGTTTGCCAGAATGTCAATGCATACACCTCATTTAATGTAAATGGCTATGAAACATTTTTATTTTAAAATTAATTTTGTTTGATATGTATTATGTCTTTTTTTAAGGTAATGGAGATGAGCAGCAACAGTGAGTGCTTTGGATGTGGCCGCTCCGGACATTGGATCAAGCATTGCCCTAATGCCAGTGGCGGACGGGGCCGGGGCCGGGGCCGGGGACGAGGCAAGGGTACTGTGTAGTATTTAGGCTACACCCAATATAGGTTATATGAGATAATTATTATTTGACCACTATATTGTTGTTTTTTTTAAACTGCATTTTCTATGTTATTCACTTGTAGCTGTAAGGCAAGGCAACTATTTGTAATGCACAGAGGCAATTCAAAGTGCTTTTCATAGGCAAAGAGTAACAGCATTAAACATTATAGGCATTGAAATCAGTTAATACAAAATAAAGAGAAAACTTAAAATGAGAAAATATGTAAAATAAAATAAAAAGTGGAAGATCACAAACAGGACTATAGAGTAGTTACAGTGCAGTACTATATTGTAGGAGCCCTAAATGCAACACAGAAAACAAAAGTAAAAGTAGTCTTGTGTTGGGTTTCACCACACCATACCTGATGGAACAAATTTAAAACACTTCAGGGGTTTAAGGTATACATTAAACACATGTTTGTTTGTTTTTTTAACACCTTTGCACACTAATCTGTGTCATTACAGAGCTGTTCTGTTATCGTTGCGGAGACCAAGGACACATGGCCAGGGACTGTGATCAAACTGAGGACGGTGTGTGCATCGCACTTATTTCTTCTATTTCAAATCCACTTAGAAATAATTACAGCAACATTCTAATTTCTGTGTTCTAGTAATGATAACAATAGAGTAATAATAGTTGTTTTTAATAGCCAGATTGTTTCTTGACAACAGTAATGCAGCAACTGTTTTTATTTACATGTTTCCTATTTAGCGTGCTATAACTGCCACAGGAGTGGTCACATTTCCCGTGACTGCAAGGAACCCAAAAAGGAGAGAGAGCAGCTCTGCTACACCTGCGGCAAAGCTGGTCACATGGCCCGTGACTGTGACCATGCCAACGAGCAGAAGTGCTACTCCTGCGGTGGCTTTGGCCACATCCAGAAACTTTGCGATAAGGTGAAATGTTACAGGTGAGTATTGCCTTATTGTCCTATTTTGTGATGCAAGTGGTGTAGTTGTATAATGTCTGACATTTTTTTATAAAATACTTTTAGACCCCTGTCCTCTATTTCTAACCTTTTAAAGTGGGGTTATTGTGTTCCTACTTTAACTGTCTGTCAGAAGAAACTAGTAATGTTTGTCTCCTGCAGGTGTGGCGGGGTCGGTCACGTTGCTGTGCATTGCAGTAAAGCCAGCGAGACTAACTGCTACAACTGCGGAAAGGCAGGCCACCTGGCAAAAGAGTGCACCATTGAAGCCACCGCATAATCAGTGCCCTCTGTTGCCCCTCCTTTTTTTTCAGATTGATGGTTGGTTGTATTATTTTCTCTGAATCCTCTTCACTGGCCAAAGGTTGGCTAACAGAGGCTAGTCCCAGGCCAGTGAGCCTCTCGACATGTAATACAATGAAAGGGGTGAAAAAAAATCTTTCTGCATTCAATACAAAAATGTTTTAGTTTGGTAGCGGTGTTATGTATAATGCTTTGTTAAAGAACCCCCCTTTCCAAGCCACTGGTGACCAGAGACGAATAAATGGGACTAAACATATGGGAAGCTATAGGACCTCTGAGCTTGTGGAAGTGAGTCTCAGTAAAAAGAGATAGAAGAAGGGAGTAAGTAGAAACCAAACTTCCATGTATGGTTATTTTGGTTTGTCTTAGTGAGATATGAGTTGGCCAAGAGAGTATGACATGGAAACAGTTCATAACATGATGCATTTCAGCCCTACAAGCAGCTAAGTGGGCGATAACAAACTACATATTATATTGCTAAGATATAAAAATTTTGGAGGTATTAAAAGAAACACATTTTATAGAAATCTGTTTACAATTTAAATATCACTCAGTAGTCCAAGGTAGACTTTTCCTTTTAAAATGGCTTTGGAGGTTTTTTTTCTTTCCCTTTTTTTTTTCTTCTTCTTTTATACCTTGGCAAAATTTAACATCAAGACCAGTTGTCAGAACAGCAGAATTAGGAGTTATTTGGGAATGAAAAATGTTTTCACAGAAATCAAAATGTTATTTTTGTACAATATCACTTAGACTACTGTATAAATACCATTTGCTTGTACTCAGTTTTTAAGTCGGAAGGAAAGTGCAACTGAAGTCCTAGAAAATAGAAATGTAATTTTAAACTATCAATAAAGCTGGAGGAGCACGGGGAGGACGTCTGTGATGTGAGTGCAAAACGTTTTAAAATGTTTTTCCTTTACAGGTGTTCATCTGCTGTCAACTGATCTGCCCCATCTTTTACAAGTAACATTCTGAACTACAGTTTACCCAACAAATCCCTGTTAAACGGTCATTTGAGCCATTAGACTGGGCCATGTGCAAGATAAAACACTCCAGGGCAATGGTATACAACGCTATACAAAAGGAACCCTTGTTTGGTCCACAAAAATGTTTTCTGCTACTTGTGCTTTGTTGCAGTATGTTTGGCAGGGCATGAACAACATCTTTATTATGCCACCATATTTATGTGCATTCATTATCTTTGTGGAGCCACTGTGCAAGGTTGTAAAAGGGGCTTTCATTGACGTAGCATGTTGGGTAAAACTGGAAAGGGAATTCGGCTGTCTGGAACAGTAAGGGTCAGATGTGTGATTTTAGAAGAACACGAGGGCAGACTGCTGTGACAAAACTGAGTAAACCCAACTACTTTAGCGTCCTAAAGCCAAGGGCGAGGCGTAAAATGGAGAACCATGTGGGTCCGTGTTCATATTTTATACTGCGAATAAATCAGTCATGTACGCATATACACTCATCGAAAACTGCAGGGAACAGAAACGATGTAGACGGGATAATGGTTTTAAGCGGGGTAGTGGGCTTTCGCAATGATCTGCGTGTGAGATACAAAAGATATGCTCTACCGCGATATCTAAAATGGCAGCGAGTTATGCAATGCAGTGCAGATGCGGCTTTACAGCTCCTTCCGGTAGAGATGCAGATAGCCCCGCCTACTCGTTTCGTCATCTTCTCTTACCCTTTCAAAATACAGGCGACAAAATAGGGAAAAAAAAAACAAAACAAGCTGAACAGTCAGCGCGGCCGGAGCGAGCCGGCTCATGCCGCATGCGGGGTTGTCTTGATCCACTTATTTTTACATCTTTTTTTTAACCGGTGATAAATAAAGGAGATGAGGGGACTCCTGCCTTTCTCCCGAGTCCTATACACCCTGAGTAACCGTCAAGCCAGACGAAAGCCTGGGATTGTCGGTATTCGGTGCGGGTTTTGCGGAACTCAGTCTAATAGCAAGGTAAGGTTCGAGCTGTTGCTAGTCGGCTAAGGTAAACAATAAGACGTTGAGCAGGTGAGACTTTGTAAGTTGTACAAGATGTTCTGTTACGGTGTACCAAATCGAGGTTACATGCAACTTTCTAAAATGTTGATCAGCTGGCAGGGAAAAATAACGGGGGTCCGACATCAGCAACCATGTCGGTTGATAGTTTTCCTCATGAGAAAGACAACCGTCGTTTCTCTGTGTTCCCACTTAATTTTTTTTTCAGCCCCAGTTACAGAAAATACAGACCGAGGAAAAGCAAAAACACCTTTTATGTATCTGAGGAGCTGTAAGATTGTTGATATGTCTACCATATAATCCTATATCTTTGTGAACTGCTGTGTCACCATAGGATTCTCGGGTACTGGCCTATATCTATGTTGCTACTCTCAGGAAGGACCCATATTCTCATACTATAGGATCAACCATGTCACTGACTAGAAATACATCGTTGCCCATGGAAACAATATTAGCATAAAGTAAATTTAAGTAGCCTAATTTAAACATGAGAAATGGACATTTTGCCTGACATTATGATTCATTTTCTTTAAGAATGAACCTTTTGATTATGTGCAGGGTCACAAATTCTGCTCTTGGCTCGTCTTTCATTCTCAGGCACTTTAAAGCCCATTAGTGAATCTATTTTCACCCTGACTTCATTCAGCTTTGCCAGGCATGTTTCAGATTCATCATCTTCCTTTATCCTCATTATGTTGCATTTTTTTTCTACATAAGAATCATATCACAAAAGAAAACTACTCTGATTTCTTGCTTGCCGTTTGGTTGATTAACTTGCATCTGTCCTTCCTTCTACAGCCACAGCCAAGCTTTGGGCTATTGTTCGACATTGATGGTGTGCTTGTCCGAGGAAGGCTGCCAATTCCTGCAGCAAAAAAGGCTTTTGAGAAGTTGGTCGACTCTCAGGGACAATTTGTGGTGCCAGTTGTTTTTGTCACAAATGCAGGGAACTGTCTCCGACAAACAAAAGCTGACCAGCTCTCCCACATCCTGGGAGTACCTGTGAGTTATCAAACTGTTGGGACAAACCACTATAGCAGATCTGTGGAGACCAGATATAACTTCAGACAGACACAAAATTCTAATTCATTCTTATATTGACAGTGCCCTCCGATGTCTCTAACAGTTATCTGTTTTCAGATTACAGAAGAGCAGGTCATCATGTCTCATAGTCCCCTGAGGATGTTTAAGCGGTTTCATGACAAGTGTGTGTTGGTGTCGGGACAAGGACCAGTCCTGGAAATTGCTAAAAAGTATCCTGGAATGTTGGTTTGTTATGTTTTCTATACACGATTTATTTAAAATTGTACTTTAGTAATACTTTCCAGTTCTCCTTAACATACTGTCTTTAGTGTGGGCTTTAAGAATGTTGTCAGTATTGATATGCTGAGGGAATCCTACCCATTGCTGGACATGGTGGACCACAACAGGAGACCCAAGCTGCCGGTGAGATGCTGAAATCTGACACAGAAATTAAATGTTGTTTATAGAAATATTAAACAGTTCTTTAGCATATGTTTAGCTACCCTTTTTTCATTTCAGACCCATCCTGTTAGCAACCTTCCTAAAATTGATGGTAAGAACACAGACCTGTTATTTCATCTCAAAGGTCTTGTCAGTGGTCCTCTACAGGATAAGCTGTATAGATAATAGATGGATGGATTATTGACATCAAGAGATTTTTTTTTAATCCCTTATATCTAATCACAGCTGTGGTTCTGTTTGGGGAGCCAATTCGATGGGAGACCACCCTCCAATTGATAATTGATGTTTTGTTGACCAATGGCAACCTCTGCAGTGTTCACCAACCCCAAAGGTTGTCTCACCTCCCCCTGCTGGCTTGCAACATGGACCTCATGTGGATGGCTGAGACACAATCTCCACGGTAACCTTTAAAAATCAGAAAATTTTAAATGAGGAATTTCATTTATTAACATCATCAACCAAAGCACAGCATTCGAAGCTGCCAGATGCCAATGCACTTTTTATCTCCATCTCATTACATCTCAGGTTTGGCCATGGGACATTTCTTGTCTGCCTAGAGAACATCTATAAGAAGATAACGGGTAAAGACCTGAAGTATGAGGCTCTCATGGGAAAACCCAGTGAGCTGACATACCATTTTGCAGAGTACCTCATCAGAAGCCAGGCCATACAGCAGCAATGGAAACATCCTATCACATCCCTTTATGCTATAGGGTAAGTTTCTCTCTGCATTGCAAGGTGCTAACAGCATATGGAATATAGACTTGCACTATGTTCAGAATTCACTTTTAATGAAGAGAGCAGAAATGAGCACTACAGTCTATGGATGAAACTTTAGTGAGATGTTGCTCAATAATATGGTGAGAAACTATATGTGAAAAAACAGAACTACTCCTTTTCAACTGCCCGCAAATGTGCCAGTGAATACAACACACTTTTGTTCAGAACTTGCATATTTGCATGTTTCACTTCAACTTTTTGTTGCCATGGTGCTGGTACAGCTTCACTCTTTGCCAGTACCATGTAATTACTTTAATTGTTACTTCAGAAATATCAGCCTCTAGGCTGATTTTGTGCATACTGCCTTAGGCACTAAGTAATCTCTTTCCTTATGCATTCTTAGGGATAACCTTATGACTGACATCTATGGTGCCAATCTCTATAATCGCTACCTGGAAGAGAGAGTTGCTAGGAAGAACCCAAAAGCCGTTGCCAAGATGGCAGCTGCCACAGGGTCGGCCACTGCAGTGCCCCAGGATGAAGAGATTGACAACCTGTGGGAGAGTGAGCTAGCACTGCCCTCTGCTACTTCCTGTAAGTCAGTCCTAGTCTGTACGGGGGTCTATGACCCCAACACAGAGGTGCCATCTGATGCAAACCACTGCATCAAACAGACTGTGTTTCATGGACACAGGGACTTCAGATTTGATCCTGCGCTCGTGGAGCCCGGCCACATTGTGCAGGATGTGGCAGAAGCTGTTGACCTCATCTTTGAGCAGGAGAAGTTTGTGCCTAAGTAGAGTTTTGAACATTTTATGTGATAATAGGCCCCTAGTAATGGAGGAGTGGGCTAGGTGTATCATTTAATGTAAAGACAGATAGGAGCCTAACACTGTGGACATTGTTTAACCACCTAACAGGGCATTGACAAAGAATGGGTCAGCTTCTAGTCTTTCATCACTGAGACAGGCATTAGAGAAAATGAACCATTTAACTGTTACAACCACTCTTATTGTTTTTGTGGTTGTCAATCCCCTGTTCTTCATTAAGAAAAAAGTGTAAGAGCTCCCTGATGACCACTAAGTATTTTTAGGTGATAGTTTTATTTTAGATTATCATTCGTCCTGTATTTATTACAAGAATTTAGCTGTGTTTTTAATAAGCATATCCAGATAACATGTGACCTTTTTTCTTAAAGTGGATGATCTATGCATGAGTATTAACTGTACTGTAAAAACAACTGTTTCATGTGCAATATTGTCCTCTAATAGTACTGTCATTAGTACTTTGTGTCTAGTTGTGAGAGCCTTGACCAATATTTGCACAGATCCAAGATTTTCATTTTTGCTAACTGTTACCATATAACCTGGGCTGTATGATGTAGAGACTTTAATTCCATAAATAAAAACTAACACATTTATTTAGATACAATGCCAATCAAAAGCATCCACTCCCCCATTTTGGCCATGTTTACTCATTGTAAATACCTTAAGAAAATATAAGGAATAGAGTCATTTTGTGTAGTCTTTTTTTTCCCAGCAGCCAAAATGTTGACTACTGTAATTCTAATAATCACGTTATGTTACACACACCCAAGGAATTTGTTTCTGGTACAGAACCGAGGCAGCCATCTGTGGCTCCAACTCACACTGATGGCTCTAACCATCGGGGCAACCTCTGGGGTTCAGTGTCTTGCCCAAGGACACTGTGACACATGGACTGCAGGCACTGTGATTCAAACCTCTAACCCTCCAGTTGGGAGATGACCGCTCTACCTACTGAACCACGTACAACTAGTGGATCATCTCAGTTTTTTAAACATAAATTCTCAACTTATTCAGCCTTTTCATAAGAGCACAGGAGTCCTGTAGGACTGACAAATCCATTGTAAAACAAATATACAAGCAGGTCTCCCTTGAAGGGGAAAAACCTGAATAAATGAGTGGATTCTTTCAGGATGCCTCCATCCATAGGGCACGAGGGGTCACTGAGTGGTTTGATGTGAATGAAAATAATGTGAAGCACGTGTTATGACATCTCAACCCAGCTGAACACCTATGGGAGATTTTGGACTGATGTGTTAGGCATGGTGTTAATCTCTCCAGTAGAATCAATCCTAATGTGCACTGAAGTCATTTTTAGTGACACATGATGGCCCAACATCTAATAGATGCTTTATGTTGATTTTTCTTTTCATTGGCACCTGTCTGTATATACACTCATATTAAGAGTATATTCATTAAGGTGTCTGTAACGAACATGTTTGAGATATAACCAAAAAGTGCAGCATGTTACTTGCAGTGAACAGCATAAGACACTTTTCAGTCAGTGTGTCATACATTTACCTAGTGCATTGCATACTTAAATGAGCAAAATTCTCCAGAATACAATTAGCTTACATGGTAAGGAAACAGCGGGTCCCTGATGGATTAGTGGCTATGATTCAGTGTTCTAAACGCTGCGGCCCAGGTTCGATTCAGAGGTGTGTCAGGAAGGCTATCCGGTGTAAAACGTGCCAAATTTCAACGTGCGAGTCATCAGTGTGACTATTTGCTGTGGCGACCCCTAACGGGAACAGCCAAAAGAGACAGACGTGGTAGGGA